TTCAGTCTAGTTGTGGAGGACATCGCTTCACTGGCCCATGTTGGTATTGTGATCATTGCACTCTTCCCGGCTAAGGCAGATCGGTCACCGGCCCTTAGACAGCCACTCACAGAAGCTCACGCCCTCTGCCGGCCAGCCCCACTGCAGCCTATGCCAATGCCGGCGACTCATGGCTGCCCAGCTCCAGGTCGAGCTGATGTTCATCATCTTAGCTGTAGAGGGCGCAGCGTCATTGGCCCTTAATGTGGGATCCGAACTGCGGCCCTGCTGCTCAGAGCTGGTGCTCCCAAGCGAGCTCTTAACCACTTGGCCGGCCCACTGCCTTCATACTTTTCAGATACCATGGCCTACCTGCTGGCTAGGCCTGCCCTAAAAACATGTCCCCCAGTACTCTGGTGTTCAGGCTGGGGAGACCAATATCAGAAGAATGAATGGAGAACTGGACAGTACAAATCCAAAATGTGTATAGGAGTAATTCTAGCCTTACAGCTTAAGAGAAACATATAAGTTGGATCAGGAGAGCCTGAAGATCAAAACACCATCATTTCTTAAACCAGTCAACCTGAAAGGAATTCTTGTCAAGACAGTTGCCTCTGTTTTACCTTAACAACTGTAGCAGGAAAGATCCCAAAAGGAGACCAGGGGTCCACAGCTTCCAATTTCATATGTACAGAGAATGAATGTGTGCCAGTCACTTGTTTGTCCTGAAATGCAAACACCAAGAGGAAATAAAAATATAGTATTTTCACATTAATTTTATACTTATATACAGCTGAATGCTACTCTTAATTAATTACAATAATGCTTCTGGTAAATAATCGAATACTATAATTTTCTTCCCTGGGAAAAAATTATTCAGGAATAAAACCTTAGGAAGCACTCCTACTCTAGATTTGGAATACAAGGGCCACCTGGAGGAAAACCAAGTTTATCTGATAACAAGTCAGGGCTATGTAGTTAAGACAAGACTCAAAATACTTTAAGAGAACTTTGGGAGAAAACCTGGACTACTTTTAGAAGAAGAAAAGGATGACCATCACTCTAGCTTTCCAACCGCTTCCCTCCTCCCAAGGCCACATTACTCTCACTGGCTCCAGGGGTTATTTTATGCTTTGCACCTCCTGCAAATTGCTTTTTGTTTTTACCTTAAATAAGTAAGATGGTAATGGCTCTTCTTCCTCCTCTTTGACTTTGGCCAAGATCTCCTGCCACTCAGCCTCATTTTTCAGGTGTCTGATGGCTTTAATAAAACAAGATAGGATGCTTTAATGATGACAGAACTTACACACTTTATAACTATTCTAAAGCATTCACATAAACAAAAAAGTGACTTTTCACTGGGAAAAGAAAAGGGTTTAAGCCCACTTAAACCATCTTCACTCAAAGAACTTGCACCTTCACTTCAATACTTGTTTCCTCTGTTCAGAGCCTGAGTAGTTAAATATGGGAAAAAAATACTTATACTGAGATCAGAAGGATTGCTGTAGTCCAAAAACTAATATAATACAACATCCAAACTGGGCATGTAATAGTAAATACAAATTGGTTTAACCAGTAACTCCAGTTTTAATATTATTGGAATTTCTTTTAATCAACAATTTGCTTTGAACCGAAAACTTGTCCTACTTCTGTACCTATATGAATGTCACCTAGGGAATTTTTCTTTAATTTTGGTAAAAAATCAGTATGAGTTGGGGCAGAAGTCTATGAAGTACATATATTAATATGTGTAGTGAATTATAAACGCAATAAATCCAAAAGAAAAATAGGCATTTAACAACTCCATATACATTTTTGCAGTATCTCTATTATGCAAAGTAACAAAGGCTTTTGTAATATGCAAAATAATACATTTTTCAGTCTCATAGATAGTAATAAAAAATAATTACAATAATGTAATAGTTAAAAGAAAAATGTTATATTATTCTTCACCTAATGGGGGCTGAATTTCATATCCCTGTTGAGCTGACCAACCAACGTGATGAAGAAATGGATGCAAGTAATACAACCAATGTCCAAAACTGTCAGAACTTTCAAGTCCTTCATAACACAGCTTCAGCCTTCCCCCAATGTTTTCAACTACAGTAACAATCCAAGTGCTTAAAGAGTCCTGGAAAGCTTGACATTCTAGCCTGGAACCTGGAGCAATGAGATCTAAAGGATTCCTCCCATTACGGAGCTGTAAGTAAAAAAAGGTGAAATGATTAAATACAAAACATAATATTTTTAAAAGTGAAGTTTTAAATGATCTTAAACTAGCCTTTATATTTTTACCCATTCAAAGCCAGTGATACTGAATTGCCTAATATCATACAAAACCCTATAGTATTATTTATAGGTGACATAAAAATATTTACCTTAAAGAAAATCTACCTATAATGCAATAAAACTATCCTAACAGATCTCTATTTCTAGGACTGTGTTATATAGTTTCATTTAGTAAGTATTTTAAAAATATCATTAGTCTCTTATTTTAAAAGCAAATATGATCATCATTAAAGAAAAAATCAAATCAAACATGATAAAAGTCAAAATCCTCCACAATCTCACCTTCAAGAAAGAAATACAATAAACACTTTGGCATACACTCTTTGAGACTGGGTTCCAATTTGTTTGTCACTTAATACATCAGAGCTATCTTTCTATTGTAGCACATATAAATCTTCATCTTTTTTTTTTTTTTAAGCTGAGCCATCCTGCCACCTGTTGGCAGCTCAGTGGCAGCTCAGCTCGGGCCGAGAATCAAACCGGCGACTCTGTTGCTCAGAGCGCACACTCTTGAGCGAGCTCTTAACCAACTGAGCTACTCAGCCGGCCCTCTTCCTTATTCTTTTAAACTGTTTTATTGATATTCTTGATTTATTGATTATTACAACGGGCAGTAATTTATCCACATCTACTGATGGCATTTCAGTTTCTGATTTTTTACTCATTTCACAACAATGTTCTTATGAACACAACAAGCATCTTGATTATGTTGATGGAAAAAAAAGTTTTACTTTTCACCCTACAGATATATATTAAAAGTTATAATAAAGAATAAAAAGAAATGCTGTTCCCAACATCATCACTTAACCATTTCTTAACTTTTTTTCCTAATAAGAACTGCTCTGTGACAGCTACATATTCATACATATGCAAAAGAACACGTGAACAAATGGAGGAACACGTTCACAGCTAAAGATTAGGATGGCAGAATTAAGGTCAATGTAGAGTACGATATTTATTAATTCGTTTGTTCATGATTCATTCATCAATTCAAATTTTACTCAGTGTGTAGTATGTGCCAAGCCCTGGCTAGACATAATACAATGAGTCTGAGCATAAAACATAAAGATCAGCTTGAAATAGAGTGTTCACCAATCAAGTTTTACAAGGCAAATGTAAACGGATCACAAAATTAAATATAAGAACTAAAACTATCAAACACTTAGAAGAAAATACAGGAGTATGTATGTCTTCATGACCTTGAGTTAGGCAAAGCCTTCTTAGATATGACACCAAAAGCACAAGCAACTAATTCAGAATACTTCAGGCACTAAGCAAGCTACAGTGTACAACCTCTGAGGCTAAATTTAAACCTCCCCAAACCCTTGCCTATATCTGTAGTAATAATGCTTATTTGCCTTGGGGTAGTAAAGGAGTAACCAATTTTAAGATTCCTTTAACAGGAAATGAGTATCACTAAGGATTAGAAGGGGTTTCCACACTGATTCTGCAAGTAGTAATACTCACGCCCTCTAGCAGCGGGACAGGAGGACTGCATGCTCCCATCAGGGTCTGCCGCAGGAACGCATCCCAATCAGACACCTTATCTCTGATGCCTAGGTCAGGGGATAAAATGAGTGATTACTCATGTCAGCCACGGAACATAGAGAAACAAAACTAAATTGAACAGAATACAGAGAAATTCAGCCAGTGAAAATGCTTTAGAGGTGCATTTGTCATTTTCATACCTAACAGTCCAACATATTGCTTCCTTGAAAGCTTAAAACAAAAATTCTCCTCTAGACAGTACTTCCTGGTTAGTTAAATAAGAGTTGTATGCAAAACAAAGAAATAGGTTTAACTCCATGTTACCATAATTTATCCAAAAGGTACCTGCTTTATTTTTTATTATGGGAATTTTCAAATATATACATATATATATATACATACACACACATGCGCGCGTAGAGAAAAACAGTATAATGAATCCTCATGTACCCTCACTTTAACAACTGTCACTTCATGGTCAATCTTTCCATCTAAACCCGGAGTCGTTAGCAAACTACAACACTGTGGGCTAAATCCAGCCTGCTGCCTATTTTTTTAATAAAGTTTTATTGGAACATATCCATGCCTGTTTGTTCACATATTATTTGTGGGTGCTTTCACACAATAAAGGTACAGTTGGGCAACTGTTACAGGGACCACATGTCCTATAAAGTCTAAAATATTTGCTATCTGGTCTTTTACAGATACTTTGCCAACCCCTGATCTACACTCTCACACACTCCACCGCCACTCAACCATGAATTATTTAGAAGCCAATTCCTGATATCATAGGATTTCATCCGATATAATCTCAGTCTATATTTCTAAAAGAAAATAGTTTTTTACACAACCACACCTTAAAAAAATGAACAATAATTCCTTAACATCAAATATCTAGCCCGTGTTAAAATTTCTCCAAATATCTCATAAATGGTTTTTCCAATTTGCTCAATCAAATCAGGATGCAAATAAGATCCATTTATCACAAATGGTTGATATATCGCCTAAAACTCTTTTAATCTATACGTTCCTTCTCTTCCCCCAGCCTCCACTCTCTTTTTCTTGTAGCATATTTGTTGACTCAGCCTTTTGTCCTACATATAGTTTTTCTGAGTCTGGTTTTACTGGCTGCCTCCCAGTAACTAGCATTTCACTGACCTCTATAGTTTCTATAAATCAGTATTTAGAGCTAGAGAGTTGATCAAATTTAGGTTTGACTCTTGGGGGAAGAGAAGCAAGAATACTTGGGGGAAGAGGAGTTGCAATCCTTCTATCAAGAGGCACATTCAATCTGGTTGTCTCCTCTTTTGTGATGTTAGCTTTTAATGGTCACTGCATAAATACATTCATTCATTACGGGCTAAAAATGGTAATTTTCTATCATCCCTTCTTCATTTACTAACCAAAATACTTCTATAAAGAAAATTTTCTCTTCTTCAGTTATTTGATTACTACCCTAAGGTATAATTCACAAAGAGAAGGGAGGATATACGCTTAATTCTCTTTATTCTTTCCCTCTATTTACTAGCCTTCAAAATTATCAGCTGGTTCCCTAGCATTCTCCAAAACTGACCAATGAGAGTTTTGTTTAAAAGTTTCACTATGGAATTATAAACTAAGTCACATATGATATGTTTCAGGCCATTGCAGTTGTCCTGTTGATGCTCAAACAATCCTATATTTAACCAGAGAGAATCTCTTCAGGTTGGCTCCTCAGTCCTTTTGATATGACCCTAGTAAACAGTCACTGATAACTTTTTCACTCAGTATAAAAGGGTGGTGTTACCAGGCTTATTTTGTACATTTCCTACCCCAGTCCAGGAATCAGCTACATCTCCAAGGAGCCCTAATTTGTTTTGGTGAAAATGGTATTTAGAGATCATAATTAGAGTGCTGAGAGTACTCATTGTTACAGAGTTTGTGTTTCTAGGCCTTATCAGTGTCTAGAAGATAATAAATATCTTTTTATACTTTAAGATAAATCACATCAGGAGTTCATATTGATACTTCCAATACAAATCCATGAAGATAGCATTTTCACTTAACTTTATTCATCCAAGCTGTTCCTTTCTCTCATACTGATAATCCTAGTTCTCAATTACACATTTAATTATTAATTTGCTTTATCTCACAATGCACACATAATTATTCTAAAATAACATCAACAATGATTACTAAAAAACACTATACATATTTTTTGCAATTTTTTTTTATACTAGGGATGTATGTTTAAATTATTGTATTAAAAAGTCACTGAAATGGTTCTTCTCTGGGTAGTTAGTTCACAAGCTCCATTCATAGTTTTTGTTTTACATCTATGTAAAATATTTACATTGTTCAAAATTCAAATCTAGCTTCTAAACCTGTCCCCTGCATTCTATTTATTCCCTTTCCCCACAGATAACTTTTTTAAATGATTGACTTTTACTTAAAAATTTTTTTTATTTATATTGAAAAATGAAGTTCACACACACACATTCATTTTGAGAAAATTGACCTGTACCTTTAAAAAATGTCAGTCATGAAAGACAGAAAAAGCCTGAGGAATTTTTCCACATTAAAGGAATCTTGGGCCGGCCGAGTGGCACAATGGTTAAGAACTGGCTTGGGACGCCAGAGGGCCCCAGTTCGGATCCCACATATGAGGGCCAGTGACACTGCCCTCCACAGCTAAGATGCGGAACAACAGCTCAACCAGGAGCTGGGCTGCCGTGAGTCGCCGGTGATGGCGTAGGCTGCAGTCCCTGTGGCAGTGGGTTGCCATGGGTTACTGTGTGTAGCCAGCAGCCAGCGTGAGCGGCCAGCAGCCGCAGTGAGCGGCCGTCCAGAAGCCAGCGACTGATCTGCCTCGCCCGGGAAGAGCGCAATGATGGTGTCAGCTTGGGCCAGTGAAGCAACATCCTCCACAACTAGACTGAAGAACAAAACTACAGCTACTTGTCTGTTCCCCTTCCCCAATTCCCCAGCACTGTTCCCAGACCCCCAATTCCCCAATAAAAAAAAACTTTAAAAAATAAAAAAAAAGGAATCTTATAAGACATGACAACTGAATACAACATACGATGTAGGATTTTATTTTACTATAAAAAACATTATTAGTAAAAACTGAATAAGGTCTATAGATTAAATAGTAGTACTATATCAAAGTTAATTTCATGACTTTGTTATTTTACTATGCTCATGAATGACCTTGTTTTTAGGAGTACATAAAAGTACTTAGGAGTAAAAGGGTATTATGTGAACAACTGGCTCTCAAATGGTTCATTAAAAAAACGTGTGTGTGTGTGTGTGTGTGTCTAAGAGAGGGAGCGAAGAAAGAGGGAAGGTTGGGAGGGGGAAGGTTAAAGCAAAATGACATTTAGGAAAACTTGGCAAAAAGTCTCCAAGAATTTTCTATACTATTTTTGCAACTTTTATGCATATCTAAAATTATATCAAAATAAGTTGAAAGAAAAATACTTAAGGTCTGGTATTTTCTTAAATCTGCAGTCTCTCTTCCCTTTCTCTACCTTTATATGATCCTGCTCTTTCTTTCGTCCTATTGTCTCTGCCTTGCTGAATTCGGATTCTACCCCCAGTAAGGTTCTTTCCCAGAAGAAAGCTTCAGTCGGTTCATTTTAAGAGTTTATAGGTTCCAGATTGCTTGTGGATGAGAAGAGAAACGGCAATAAAATCAAAAAGAGAATTAACCTGGCCCAATGTACTTACATATAACCAGAAGTACAGGTCTCAACTTCAGAGAGCCTCACAGTCTTACAGGATTTTAAGCAACTGATGTTCCCTGTGTCATAAAAACCTGAGGCTTTATGGCACACAGAAAATAATTTTTAAAAATAGGGCATGTGCATTCTTCCTTATAAATATTTTCCCTCAAAACACTAAGCCCCCAAAATTAGGAAAACCTATGCATATGGCAGACTGAAAACCTAAAGATTGTGGACAGCCCAGATTTTCCTATTGCAATATAATATTATGTCTTGATAGGCAGTATTTTATTACCTTCTGGTGCTTTCAGGGTCTTCTTATTCTGCTCACACCACCCAATGGGGTAGAGGTCAGCCTTTCTGATGTCACACCAGAAGTCCGCTCTCCGGTCCTCCCCATAGCCATCGTAGCGGAGAAGGAGTAACTGCTCACAGGTGGTAATGATGGTGGCAACCCAGTAAGTTTCAGGATCTGTCTTCACAACCACCTCCAGTTTCATCCCAGGAGCAAATCCATTTTGCAAACGTGTGTCCACCTGAACAGGGAAATGTTATCAATCACCAGACAAGTAGCTCAAGTGAGTATTTCTTTGGCCAACATTCTTTTTTAAGATGTATAATTCTGAAACACTAAATGCAATAAAATCTTCTCAAGGGAAACCTGAGAAATTCCAATTCTAACTCATAGGAGTGATCTCAACAAAACAGGGAATAGCAATACTGCTCTGTTCCATGACTCCAAAGGAATTTTAATAGAACTCAATATTTTCACCAAAGCAGTCTATTATGATTACATAAAATGATTTCTATTACGTATACAAATCAGCAAATGTTCACCATTTTAATAGCTTTCAACACATGAAGTTTTCAAGAGTGATTTCTAGATCATTCCAAAGAAAATTCATGAAGCAAAAAGGGAAAGGACAAAAATAAGCTATAATAATAATAATAAGCTAGTATAATATGTACCATATGTAGGGAGCCACACCTCTCAGTTTCCCTGAAACAGTCTGTTTACACCTGTTGTCCTTGAATAATAATTAATAATGCCCCTTTTGTCTCTCAAATGTGCCCTAATTTACATGATAAATTATATAGTCACAAAGTTATGGGTTAGCAATTCTGGAACTACTGTATGTGTATACTAAGAATAAATAAAAAAATATATTGTGGATAATGAAAGGCAGGTTTCTCACTGAGGGAGAAAGAAGTAAAAATAAGGAAGGGGGAAGAAGGGAATGAACTTTGTGGTGCTGAATTGGAATCAAGGTATCAGAATGAGGTCATGATTACAGACAGAAAGAGAGATACAGAAGAAAGTATAGATGTGTATGTACGTTATGTGTTAATATATAGTATTTCCTAGCTCTGTGAATTGATAGGAACTAATAATAATACTCAGTAGCAATAGCAAATTTAATGTCCAAATCTTAATTTCTAAATAAATATTATAAGAACAAGGGCTCCATGGTGAAATAACTGATCTCTATTCTGACGTAGGGAAAACACAGTAAGAGTCTGGAGTATCTTGTGATGCCAGAAAGTAAGGAAATGCTCCAAAAATGATGGGGACCTTTAGAAAGGGCATTGGAGCCACTAGAAGTATCCCCCAATGGTCACATGTGGGACAATTTGAGCAATAAAATAAATAATAAGAGTAATGAATTATAATCCATAAATGTAAAGATATCCATGAGTCCATACTGTTAAAAATAATTAACAGAGATGAGGAGACAGTTCTTCCTTAAAGTAGAAAACCAATAGCAAATACAGAAAAAAAATGGAGATAGAAAACCACCTTTAGACAAACACCACAGAAATATACACTGCAGGCAAGAATCATGGGTCAATGCTAAAATGACTACGATGACTATGATATTTGCATAATCTCAAAGGTTCTCCCTGCAAGATTCTTATTAATTGCAAAGGGGAAAACAGCAACATTAAATGAAGTAGTCTGGCAGAAACCACTCTAATTGATCCAAGTTAATTAGTTAATAATACCACCAGTCTGAAAACATCGATATCATATACCCTTGATATAATACAATAAAAAGCACAAAATCATTTTTATGACATTTTTTGCTAAGTCTGTATTTACCCAAGCTAATCATGAGAAAAACTAAACCCAAAATGAGGACTATTCTACAAAATAACCAAAATGCAATATGCTCTTGAAAAGTGTCAAGACCATGAAACACAAAGAAAGAATGAGGACCTGTTAAACACTGGAGGAGACTATAGAGAGACATGACCACTAAATGCAATGTGGCGATCTCAACCACAAGAAAGTAAGGGGACTCCTAGAAAAGAGGGAGCCAGAGAGGGAAAATCCCGCATTCTGTGTAAAAATTCCTCCTCTTTCTAATCACTACACCCTGTTGTACTCCTGAAAGGTAATCATTATCCTGAATTATAACACAATGGTTTAATATTGCCTGTGTTTTCACACTCTGTTAGTTTGATTATGCAGTATGAATGTTTTTATGTGTGTGGTTTCTCTTACGTGACATTGCTTATGAGAGTCATAAATGCTGTTGTATTAACAGTAGTTTCTTTTCACTGTGATATAGTATTTATTACATTATACAAATATACCACAATTCATCCTTTCTAATGCTACTAATAGGCAGCTTTTTTTTTTT